ATTAGGGTTTGTCATTTTTCTAAAAATGATTAATACGTTACTCGGTAGCATATAAAAAAATGTATTAGTCTAATTTTAACAATAAACATTTATGGTTTTTGTTCATTAAATTAAAGATTCTAAATAACTAATTTTTAAATCTGATTAAGAATCAACCTTGTTTGTCAACCTGATTTTGAGAAAATTTCTACAGTACCATTGAGCCAAATTCCTGTTTTCTTAAAAATCTCGTGAACAACTAAAAAAAAATAATTTTTTACGGGTTGCCTTTTAGGTTTTAGAGAATGCACCACCATGGCAAATATTTTGTGGCTAATATTCGTTTGGTAAGACACGATTACTTTAAATATGAACTTTTCCATTCTATATATTTTAGTTTTATTTTACTTGTTTAAACCTTTTTAATTCAATTGTTAGAGGTATGGACGATGCATTTATCCCAAAAGTACTTTTACATTTATTCACATTTCTAATTAATTAACTACAAAATATTAATAATTTTTGTGTTGTAGGTGAAAATACAGTAAATGGAGATCAATCAGATGCTCATATGAGCACTTTGTCCCAGAGTAGCAAAGAGGTAAGTTTTTCACTCTTATTTGATCTAATTGTATTTCAATTTTTCTTTCTAACGTCTGTATCATTATTGCCATTCGATTTTTATGTTGTTAAATATCTACTAGGTATAAAAAAATACATTTTCTAGGATCGCTCTATATCTGAGGGATCTCCGAAGAAAGACAAGAAGAAAAAGAAAGGCCTGCGAACTCCATCATTCCTGAAGAAGAAAAAGGAGAAGAAATAACATGCATCAGGCAAGTGTAATGTTTTTTTGCCATATTTTTGTTTAATTTTCATATTCAATGTTTATTAATTATTTTTTTATTAATCGACTAATATAAATAATGCTGTTTCGGGCACTAAATAAATAAAGGTAAAATATTAATGGATGTGGATTGATATTATGGATTAAAGTTGTTCGAAAGAATGTCCGAATATTGGGACAATAATTTGAGCGCGATCTCCGGCTGTAGAACATTGTTTAAATAATTAAAGAAAGTGCAAAAAACCGTTTTTTTGCGCATAACTTTTCAACCGTTGATGATATTCTATTTAATACTTGAAAAAAAGTTTAATACTTTCAAGTATTAAAAGTAAAAGTATTAAAAATACCTACAATAATAAGATGTAATAATACAAACTAAATAAAAAAAAGAGAAAGTTTTTGTTCATTGCTGTTTGTTATTATTTAATACTTAATAATAAAGGCTCTGGTCAGATTCTAAATACGTTTTTTTGAGACATCGGAGCGACTTATCTTAGGCTGTATTTTACTCCTAAAAAGTTATACTACAACTTACAATAAATGGAAATTTGATTAATGAAGGATGAGATGTTCAAACATTAAGTTGAAAATCAGGAAGTTTGCTCGGACGTGATAGACGTAGCAGTATTAATTTTTAACTTAATGTTTAAACAATTTACCATTCAGTAATAAAACTTTCCTTTATTGTACGTTGTAATATAACTCTTTGCAGCCTCAAAGAAGTCTCTCCGACGTCTGAAGAAAAAACCTATTGAGATTCTGGGAAGAGCGCTTTTTACATAACAAATAGGAATGAACAATAACAAAATTTATAACACTTATAAATTATACAAAAACCTACAAAAAAGTTATAGTGAGATTTTTTCAAAACAAAATTTAATTAAAAACAATTTAAAAAAGGTAAAATCGGTGATTTTTTTTCATTTTTTGAAATAAACGGATTTTAATTTAGTTTATCTCATATTGTAGATATTTTTAATACTTGAAAAAATGTATTAAACTATTTTAAAAAGCATCAGCGGTTCTAAAGTTATGTGCAAAAAAACGGGTTTTCGCACTTTCTAATTATTTAAACTGTTCCACAGTAGGAAATCGCGCTCAAACTATTGTCCGAATATTCTGACATACTTCTAATAATCTTTTACCTTTATCTATTTAGTACCCGGAAAAAATCTAATCCGACTGGACTATAAGGACTATATGGAAAATGCTGATAAAAAATTTTTGTAATTTCTAGACCAACTGCCGAAGACGTAATATAATTAATTCTAAAAAATCGCCTCCTCCATCGAGACTGCCAGCGACATATTTCGTTCACTTTTACTTAGTATGTAGCGCGCAGCAGCTAAATCTTTTGCACTAAAACGTGTCGATAGCGGACTGCAATGGTCTAATTTGTTTAGGATGAATAGTTTATAATATATTATTTTATTTTAGCTTTAATTGTACAGGAAACCACAGTTTTTAATTTGTAACTTACCAAGCAAAATAAACAATTTTATTGTGTGCAGTTGAGAGCGTACGAACTAGAACTCTGTATGAAATGAACCCAATCTTATATTGTACTCCTATTATAATATTACAGAATTGTGTTTTATTGGTGCTAGATCCGAGGTGTAATAAAATGGTAAAGTAATTGTTCAATTGTTAGTCAAGCGATCTTCTCCTTTTCATCTTGTATTTAACGGGCGTAAAATGTAGCAAACGTCGCGCTTACAAAGTTATCACGTTATATCTTATTAACATATTCCTAAAGTGCTTAAATATGCTTTACGAATTTATGAGGCAAAATATATACATATATGTTTTTTGTCAATTGCATTCCATTATACATCACATGCATCACATTACATTATAGGATACATATAAATTATATTCAACTTTGTTTGGTGCATAGGAAAGACCTGCCAACATTCCATTATTGTATTTAACTTAAATTGCATTTAGCTGTAGCCTTTCAAAATATTGCGTTTTATTTTTAAAGACAATATATCTCGACCCCAATGGACGATATTTCAGAGTTGATTTTACTTTTCCTCAAAGCTGCATTGGCTAGTGATCGTGATTTTTTATATGAAATTATTATAAATATGTGAAAAAGAAGAATTATTTACTGCAACTATGTATATTGAGCGCTATACTATTCAATGAACTGTTGAATGAGCTTCAGGCTTTTGATAAAACATTGCGATGCGGAAAGAAATTATGATATAACTTAATTAGGGAAAGTGAAAGATTATCGGTTAAGGTTTTCGTACGTAGTTCTAGTTAATAGTTCCGTGCTTGCTAAACTGCTGTTTTAATTAGACTCAATACGGGCTGCTGATAAATTTTATATAATAGTTTCTCTAATATTTAAGCTCCTAATTAATATTTTCTATTTTTCTATTAGATTTAGTAATTTGTTTGATATTAAGTACTAATTGAACGCTTTAAGAGTAAGGCGGTTTAGAGCTGACGGTACCTCCAGTGCATCCGTTACAATTCAGTTGTTTATTCTGTGCAATATATTTATTAGTTTTCGGGCGTCTCTATTTTTGGATGACTATTTGTGTTGTTATGACACTCTTTTTAATCAATATATTGGTAGCTGTGTTATTATATGTAGTGAAAACGTCGATAATACAATAAATAGTTCGATGTTCCGCAGTCCATAATGCAAATTTTACCAAAAATAGAAACTTATTAAATTGTAGTCAAGATTAAACGCATGTATTTTCTCATAAACGATTTATTCATGTAAAAATTGCATCGCTTCCACAACTATAGTATGATTTGCTGATACATTGTAAGTTTGTTCGAAAAGTGATGTGTGCAAATAAAATACACAATAATTGTTATTGCCATAATTTTATATATTTCCGATATACACGCTCTTTTTTGCATTGGGTGAGGGATTTAACACTATATGTTTTGTTTATATTTTTCGACTGTGTTTAATGTTTTGCACAAAAAGTACTCGTTTTATATAGATATTTTGTTTTCTTGAAATTTATTAAATAAATAGCTTTTTCTTCGAAACTATTGCGTATTACTTGCATTCCTTTGGTCCCTTCACAAGCCAAAACATTGCATCATATGATCAAAGGATATAAAATAGATTATTCATTGCGTTGTGGGAGTTGCCGCTTTGAACATAAAAATGTATTAAAGGACCTCTTAAAAATAATAGACTTGGCTTTATTTATTTGATTAAATTCGCAGTTGTCGAATGTCGAATGTAATTTATTTTTTATTTTTATCTGCCTATCTTTATGACTAAGATTCAGTACTGTATAAGGTAGGGATAGTCGATCTCTAACGTAACCGCTAAAGTAACAGTGTTTCATACGTGTAACCTGCAACCTCAGTTACACTGCCAATTTAACCGTTTTTTTTGGAACCGTCTCATAAACCGGATAAAGTGGTTCGTGCCAGCGTACTAGCACAGAACCGATGCGGCACCGTCGAGCCATCTATCCAGTTGCAGCAGTTTCAGTAACAATTTGTCAATCTTTCGTCTATAAGAATTAGTGTTCAGTTCTTCAGGAACCATAATCGGTCAGATCAGCGAAATATGGTTTAGTTTCGGTTATGTCATAATTCGGCATTTTTAGTCTATAAGTATTACTGTTAATATATGTTATTTAATGTTATTGTAAATAATTCAAATGCTAATACCAAAATACCACCTGTGGTGCCCGATCAATCAATCGGAGGAAGTTCAGTTAAAAGATAGAAAAGAAGATTATTCAATTTTTCAAGATTTTGACAATTTTTTTTCATAACAAAAAACGCCGGTTATTAGTACTTCTGTTCCATGCGATATATTACTTTTCCAAGCGTGTAGCTATAAACTAGCGATGAACTAGATTTAGTAAAAAGCATACGCAAAAAATGTTCTTAATTATTAATTCATTTTTAAATAAATATTAGCTTTTTAAAGATTTTTTTTCGTCTTTAGAATATATTATTTTTAGTTTACCAATGCAAAAGAATTATTTTTTAATAAACTAAATCATTATTTATCATCGCTATTTCTACCGTCATCATAAATGCGAATTTTTAATGAAAAATTTAAAAAGGAACATGTTACTTCTGGAATTGAAATGTTGGAACCTAATACCAAAGTGACTGCAACGTTGTAACCGGTCCCAGAAAAATGACTAAAAAATAAATAAAATAAAAATCTTAATTGGAGTTTTACTAATATATTATGTTACAAGAGTTAACGCTTGATTTTAGGAAATATTTTTTGCTCGTTGATTGATTGTCTTTTTTATTTAATCGAATATTCTCCAATCAGTAATAATTAATTCAGCAAGCTCTTGGGTGTTTGATTAGTAATTCAGCGGATTAGCTTAATTTTATCACGAAATTGAGCTGCTAGAGTTATTAATATTTGCAAACCTTGTAAAATATCCCGTTTTATTGCATTAAACGTTCTAATTTGCATGGATATTTTCACATGTAACAGCATGGTAAATATTTCCAATTAATACCAATTCTTCTGTATTAATGGAATTCAATTTTGTCGGCTGTTGAGTTCAAAGTATTATTTTTTTTATCGGAAGTTCTGTCTGACGCAAAAATAGTATACAAATATTCCTGCTGATAGTAAATTAATTAATAGTAGTCGATACATTTTTGAAAATGTTTTATTGTTTGATAATTTAAGTTGCAGCTAAAAAATATCACAGTTTTATCACTGAATCCATAATAATTCCATTGCTTACTCTAAGCAAGAACGATTTAAGCGGAACGAACTCCGAACGAAGTACAATCAAAAATACTTATTTTCACAATCATACATTAATTTCGTTATGCGTTAGTAGCTTAATCCATTTTAGTTTGCAGTGTACTGCTAATATCTAGGATATGAACACTTTTCAAGAACCAGAAAACACCCGATATCAAGAAAAAAACTTCGGCTAGCAGTAAAGTGGTATAGTCGATGTCTGGAAATTGCAATCGTTGAATGGCCGTTACGAGAATCATGCATCTGAGCACTTCGTAAATAGGAGCGAATTTGTGATTTTCGAAAAGAAGTCCTATGTTGGTCAGAGAAGCGATGATGTAAGAGACAAAGGCCAAAACCGAAACAGGACTTAAAGACTGAAAAGAAAAATAAATTGATTAATTCAAAGTATTGTCGCTATAAAGATGATTTTTCTGAGAGAAATGATTTATTCAATCCGGGTTCGAGATATCATCTTTTAAGCAATGTAGTGGAATTAAAGTTGAAGCATTTTTGAGTTTACCCTAAATAGTGGCAAAGCAAATATTTGCAAAAATCTTGCAAACATTCACAATTTTTTTTGATCTAATTGGTTTTTTATTACTTCATGAAAGGAGAAATCATAATAGTACGCAAAGCAAAGTAATAATTCTTTTATTACAATTATTCTCTTATTATATCGAGATTATTGTTTATCATTGCAGTTTTACAATAAAATCTCAATTAGTCTCAAATTAAAATTACACTTTTTGCGAGCTTAGATACTTAGGATTATTTATTACCAGATAACAACAAACTTATTAGTTCGTTTGATTCTAGCTTTGAATCTAATACCTATTGGTTTTCCAAATATCTACTTAAATATTCAGCTCAAACCTTGTGACAGAAAAATTTCGTGTGAATGAAAATATTTTTATTACATTAAACTTTTCTTACCAGGTGCCTAAGTGCCAATTGATGAAAACCATATACCATCACAGCGAAATGGATGAGAAGATACAGGTTGCACCATAAGGGAATTTTCACGTTGTACTTTTCTCTTTTAACTACCTGAAAAACGAAATTTACACATTTTAATCAGGCTCAATGTTTGATTGATATAATTGTACTCTCAGAATTAATTAATTCATTTTCGCTTTCTAAATTTTTTATTCTGGGTTTCAGTCATAAATGCTTTGACCGGAAACATCTGCGTCAACATTGTGTAACATTATTGTTGAGTATGTAGAAACTTTATAATCGGAAATTACATTATATTATTTTTATATCGAGAAATGTATTTTTTTGTTATTATTTTGCTTTTGCCCAGCGTTTGTCGATATATTTAACAAAAAAATCATTTGAAAATATTTTCAACAAAAGATATTACCTTTATTTTATCCTCCTCAAGACCCAATCTGGGTTTACCAGGCTGCCAGCTTGGTCCATAAAAAATGGCAGCTAATTTATGTTTCCAGGAACTCATAGCTTGGAGCTTCTGGATCACATACTTTGTGTAGAATGTCTGAAAGAAATATAAATTAAAAGTGACAACAAAAGCGAAATGATGTGGTCCAAACAAGTAAGAAGCTGAGGACATTAAACGGAATACCGAAAATTAACTAAAAAAAAGTCTTACCTGAAGATGTGTTGGATTAAAAGACGGTTGGTTATAAACCAGACCATAAATAATTTCTTCGCCTTTGCGCTCTTTGGCAAAAGTTCCAAATATTCGATCCCAAATGATCAAAACCCCTCCGTAGTTTGTGTCCAAGCAGTAAATATTGCTTCCTATAATTAAAAACCCACCGTTATTTATGTAATAACATGCCCTTCAATAAATATTTAATTCAGAAGGTTTTTAGATAGTCTTTATTAGAAGAAAATAATTAGAGAAAATTAGCTATGTGCTTACCATGGTGCACTCTATGATGATTTGGAGTGTTGAAAATCCATTCCAAAGGTCCCAACGTTTGAACGGTTTCCGTATGGATCCAGAACTGATACAGTAAGTTGAAATATTGATGTGTAACAAACTGCGATGGCGGAATGATAAAAGCCAGTGGTAAGTAAAACGACTGAAATTAGAAGTGTGGTTTTACTCATAAGGTTTTCACCATCTAATATAATTCGCATTTTTTTTTAAACTGAACCAAGCAGAATTTTAACTAAATATTTGCATTCTTCATACATTTTCTATTAATATATTTAAGGATTCGTAGGGGTGATTCAAAAGTTTCAAGTAACTGCTTTTTCTGACCTGACTCGACTAATGTATAATTATTAAACAAATATTTTTTACATATTTTCTTAATTTCATTTCTATTTACAAAAGTATGAAATTTCACTTACAAAGCCACACCATCCTTGTAGAGCCGATTGCCTTAAACCAACCGCTAGATTGTAATCTTCGGAACTGTGATGTACTTGATGTTGAGCCCATAAAATGTGAATTTCTAAAAATTTATTAAATATTTTCTACGATATTTTCTAGTTTGAGTGGGAAAATTATTTATATGCACACTTATTCACGCGACAATATTTTTCATGTTTTTTTTATGTTGAAGCGAGCTAAGGACCTTTTTTTAAGGAAGGAGCAAGTTACGAGTGTATGAAATATATTTGATTACAAAGCGAAAAACTGTTTTTATTCATCTCTGCTATAGCATTATAATTTATGAATGCTAAACTTACCATGACATGCTCTATGAACCCAATAGTAACAAAAATCGACTCCAATTGCCGCCAGATACCAAGTAAAAGGTAGGTCCCAAGATAAATCACAGATACGAAAATGTTGATAAAGGTACAAATAAATGTAGCTTTCTGAGCCTCTAAATAGTAGCCTGAAACATCAAATGATACAATCAGCGTTGCTATTTTTGTTATTGCATTTTTGCGTAATTTATTTGAACTGAAAAGTATTTACCGTCCACATTCCTGGAAAAGACCATGCGATAAACTAGTAATACTGTCATTTAGTCTCGCGGTTGGTTTTTTCTCAATCCATAAAAGAATGTTTTCTACAACCATAAATAGTAGAAAATAGGGCCAGGCCTGGAAAAAAAATTCTTCTAATTTAAAATTGCAAAATAACATTTGTTTACACATAAACTCCCTAGTATAATACTTACACTGTAAAATAATTTGGGAACATCCTCCGGACGTTCGTATGAAGTCTCTGCTGGATTAACAATGTAAAACATTTGGGCCAGACCTTTAACGAGTTTCCTAAAAGTGTCTGGAAACTCGACTGGATCCACCATAGTGTTTTGATTGCTCAAACTGACCAAGACTGTAGTAATAACTTTGTACTCACTCGAATTCGTAGAATTTGCGACTAAGGCCATTTCAAACTCTAAGTAAATCGCTCTCGTTTAAACTTGTGATATTTCAAGTGAACCTTTCTTTTATCGTTAGAAAACCGAACAAACCATTCATAGATTGGCTAAGGGCCAAAACGGTCTAAAAATAAGATCAAAACACTCTTGAAATCGAACTGACAACGGTTGCTGATTGCTCGAAAGAATTGGAAGATTAAGCGCACCGGCAAATTTATATATTTATTTCACCTGATGTAAACACTTACGTTTTTTACAGGAAGAGTGGGGATTTAAACTTATTTATTGTTAATATGGTTTACGGATTAATTGTTTGCTTCGCTATTTTACTCCAAACAATTAATTTTATTTATTGAGAATATAATTGTTGCGGTGAGATAAAAAAACTTTGGATAAAATATGCGAACTGCTATATCGCGGTTTGGCTGGCCGTTATGAATCATTAAAATTCAAATAATTGTTGCGGTGAAATTGAAACATTTAAAAACTAGAGAGTTGAATACAGTTACCAAACAATGCAACTGATGACTTTGGGATTTCATGTTTAAAATCAAAATATTTTATTTTTCTGCAAAGAATCTTTTTTGGATTGATTTTGTCTTAAATGCCTGCCTTTCAACACAAACAAAATTTGTGGACGTGTTTTGGATCGCAAATTTTGAGAACCTCAAATACACTGACGCTTGCTGATTAAATGGGTGATAATTGTAAAAGTAAAGTAGCTGACAAAGGATACATTAAAAGTATCCAAAATTGCCTTTTTTGGTCAATATATGACAAACATTTGAAAGTTAGTTGATTTTTTAATATAAAAGGCGATTTTACACTTCACTGATTCACATCTACGAGTACGTTTTGTATTTGTATTTAAATATTTTGTATTTTCTATAATTTTTTTGAAAATAATAGAATTGTTTGATAACTATATTTACTACAGCAAATACATGATTACAAACAGTTTTTTTATTCAAAACGTCGTATTATTATTACATTATAAATTGGAATAAATGAATACAAAAATGAAAATCAATATTCCACTGACCATAGCAAAACTCTTTGTATTATGAAAATTGTCCAATGACTTGAAGATAAACAATTGTATTTATTGAAATATCGCTGTTAGCGTAGCAATATAGCGTAGCAAGTATATATTGATCTTTGAATGCTATAAGTGAGGGTGTGGTTAGTTTCTAAATTTAAAATGCTACTTATAAAAACTAAAAATTTTGCACATTCACATTTCAGGTGAGTAATTTTTATCAGTTTAGCTCATTCATCAATTTAGCTCATTTATAGAGGAAAAACAGAAAACTTATACAGAAATGTGTTTGAATTTGTTTGCCCAAGAAGTGTTAAATTTTCTGTGATGTGAAAAATCCTCAAAATAAATAAATTGAACAATATCGAACTGCAGTTGAAATCCATCGCATGCATCTCCGCATTCTCGAAGAAATTAGAACGCGTCTTCACTAGACTCGAAATAATTCGAAGAAAAAAGTGGATCTATAATGTCATCTGAAGCGGGGCCGCTCCTTCGGAAACCAATGATTTTGCAGATTTGAATGTAAATCGCCACATAGATTATTTATAAGATATGATAATAAGATCAGCCGATGCAAATTAATTTGGAGCAACAATATGATCGATTACATCAGTGCCATTTTTGGAATGTTAATGCGTTTTTTGGTGTAGCCGTGTTATAATGCAATCGGTTCAATTTGCTCGTCAGACAATGTGCTGAAATTACGTCTTGCTCAATTACATTTCAAGTGCGACATCGCTTAGCAGTCAACATGTTTACCTGTAATTTTCAGCATTGTTTCACTTCACACATTTACGAGAATTATATGTAGAGGTCAATAACAGTGAAGTGATATGTATTAAATACACGTGGTAAATTAATGTTTTTTGTATAATGAAAAAATGATTAGACTTGTTTCAACAATTTTTCTACATTTCAATATCAAATCAAATATTTCTACATTTCAATGTAGAATACATTTATTTATGAAGAAGCAAGTTGTGGAGTCTGTGGTTATTCTGCATCCAAAACTGAATTTTAATGTAATTATACATATAGGGAGAAATCAACAGTAGAAGAAACTCGAAACGTTGCAGACTATTTGAAAACCTTTCCATAAAAATATGAAAAGCTGTCAAAAATGCAGCGAATGAATGCAGTGATATTTCTGAATGCAGCAGCAACGAACACAAAAATAAGGAATTATTATATAAATTAAAAAATAATTGAATAAAAACCGTCTCCTGCAGCTAATGGAGAAACGCTGAATTTGTATAAATATAAATAAAGACACATCACAACATAGAAAAAGTAAACGATAGCTGAATGTAAGGTGCAAAATTTTGAGCAAATAATTGTGAAATTTAATATATTATGACGCGAAGTTAGTTTAAGCGCAACAAATTTGTTAAGGAATTTTTAAATTACCTTTAAAAAACATTTAGCTTGGACGTATCCAGTTTCATTTAGTTTCCTTTTACATTTTCCCTCCAACTAAATTAAAACGGACTTTTATTTACCCATTACTAGACTTTCACTTTCTAACTAGACGCTAATCTTCATAATCCACTTTGCATAAATATGTGCTCTTATTATGAACCGTTTGTATTAAAAATATACTGCATACAGCAAACGAATTTCTGATAGTTAAATGAGAATTTGTCCTGGTGTGGCGATACGTTTTGATGAAAGGAAGTAGTTTACCTAAAAATAAATTTCAAAAAATTACACAAACAAACTTTTTTAAACTAAGTATCTTTCAGTTCATACCAAAGAATACTTTTTGGTTGTGGTTTTTCCTTGACTTCAAGACATTAATAATTAATTTGACTTTGCCATACAATTATAGGCCAGCTTTCTAATTATTAGTTAAAGATTTTTTTTACATTACATCTCTTCATGTTCTTTAATTAAATCGGCGTTCTGTTAAGCCCTTAACCGCCCAGGTGCCAAGCGGTCTAAAGGTAATACTTTTCTAAGTTGCCTTCATTCTTTTATCATTATTATAACTGAGCTGCTTTAAAATTCACAAATAGATCCGGTATGTCAGGACAATGAAAGTTTAAGTAAGGATTACATTAATTATTTGATATTATAACGCAGGCCGGTTGATTGAAGGGGAATATTTCTAGTGGTAAAAACTGTTCATTGAACTAGTTCATACAGATTTGTTAATCAATATAAATGACCTTTCCGGTTTCATATATTTTTGAATGGTTTAGCCGAAAAGTAAGTCATTATGATATAGCACTAATGTTCTAATTTTAACTAATATGTTCTACATTATAAGAGGTAAAATCCAACATTACAC